ACAAAAAAAAAAAACCTTGGTAAAAAAATCAAAAAAAAAAAAAAGAAGAAAAGAAAATTTATCCTCCTGTGTAATCAAATTATTTATTCAAAAATTATACACATCTAGTAACCCAAAGATCACTATTTATAGACACTGGTACACTAATTATACATTGTTGAAGATATCAATATAATTAGTGGGAGGATGTGTCTACTACACTCTCTTTTTTTCTTTTTTAACAGTCGCAAAATAGACAAATTACTGTTAGAAACGAGATTGAACATTGAACAGAGTGAATTGTCGAATAAATATTCGTTGTACAATAATAAAAATTGTCATTATTGTTTATATTTAAAATAGAGACAAATTGTATCAGAGTTAAGGTTATATCTAAGCTCTACAGGGTGAGTAAGAACATTTCTTTTTTTTAATCAAAAATTCTTCATGAGATTTTACAGATATAGTTTTTTTTTGTTTTTAAAAATATGTTCAATTATCTTAGAAGTCATGAAGTGTTCGCGTAGTGATCGTGCTTTTTTTGCATTTATTTTTAGTATTTTTCATTTGACATAAACACGAATCGCTTGCACTATTTGAAAAGAGCAAAATTTTTTGCTACATGTTGAGAAATACAACGACCTTTTCTTTAAAAATTTTTTGATTCTAAAAATAAAATCCTTTTATAAATAAAAAGAAGCATGAGAGAGAGAGAGAGACAAAAAAAAAGAAATAGTTATCAGACATTATCTTACAATGATTGATATTCTCTGTTACAAAAGTTCTGCTATTTTACTTACATTTTGTTGTTGTTCTTCTTCTTCTTTTATCTATTTTTTATACTGTTAGTAAGAGAATTGAAACAAGTCTGTTTAACCTTCCACAATGAATTTGTTTCAACAAAAATATTTGTCAAAACTAAAAAAACATCATAAGAGAATTATACATTTAAAAGATTATTTTTGTTTTCGTTCAGACGTTCATTTATTGAACATAGAAAATATATTTTAAAATCAATATTTTTTTGTACAAAAATGATTTATTAGTATAGGAGAGAAATGATGAATCATTGGAAAAAAATGAAGCTAATGAGCCTATTTTAAAATTGAAGTAACATACCGTTAGTTAAAATATGTGTCTATGCTGAAAAAGAGAGACACAATAGTCAAAGAAATACAATGTACAAATTGAATGTGTGTAATATTAAAAAAAAAATGAAATGAATAATTTCTGTTTTTTGTTTGTTTATTTCTTTTCTTTTTTTCTTTTTCTCGTATTCATAGGCGTATTTACAAATGTTTCATCGACAAATAATGAGTCATCATCATATACGACAGATATATCATCTCATTCAAATTTAAATACTGGACAACGTCATAGTATAAGTGGAAGTAACGAAAAAATGTTTACAACTGAAACTGTATCATCATCATTATCTCCTCCAAAACATTCATCATATTTACGTCAACAACGTACAAGTGATAATCAACAAACAACAATTCAACCCGATTCAACAAGTTATGATAGTGATATAGATAAATCAACAGAGGATTTAGATTTTGATGATGAACATGATGAAGAAAAATTACAAAAAGATGAAGATGAAGAAAAACGAATTATTGTAAGTCAAATAGCTCTTGAAATGATCGTTTTTTGCTTTTTTTTGTTTTTTAAAGAAAAAAAAATAAAACTGTTTTGTTTTGTTTTTTTTCTTTTAGTCTCGTCAACAAAATGTATTATGGTGTATTGTTCAAGAATGGGTTAGAAAAGAAGAAACATATATTACACAATTGGATAATTTACTATTTCAAGTAACAAAATTACACCAAAAACATTTTATCTATCTCGTTTATTTTTTTTTAACTAATTCTTTATTTTTGTGATTTTTTTTAGTTCTCTTGTCAACTACTAATTGCATTGAACTTTACATTATACCTACTTATCGGACTTTAATTTATTCAATGATGTGAATAAAAAAAAAGAAATGAGAGAAGAACTTTTATCATCATTTTTATGATATTATTTCGTTTCAAAAACTAACAACATGTTCAACAACGCAAATCTCTCTTATATTCTCCTTTTTATGGTTTTATTGAACATTTTTTTTTGGCTTTGTGCGTGTGTCTGTTTAAAAGGAAGAAGAAGAAGAAGAAGAAGAAGAGCATTTCTTTTCTTCTTCTTCTTTTTTTCCTTCTCTTAAATATTAGAGAAGACTATTGTGTAGTTTGTTTGTTCCGGAAAATAGGATTTATGACCTTGGTTTTTCTAACTAGAGAAAAAAAAAACATTAGCTTAGAGACACAGAAACAATCAACAAAAAAATAGATCATGATGAGGATGATATTACAATTCATCTTTTTCTTTTGACTATAAATGTTCAAATCATCGAAATAATATCTTTTACACACATATGTTAGAGCATATTTTATAGTCTCTACTTCACTTGAAACAACATATTTCAAAAACAAAACACGTCACTTTTCTTTTTTCGTACTCGTCTATTAGCGGTACCCCTACGAATTAGTTACAGTCGACTTCATCGAAAGAAATTCTTTTCTAAAAGAAGCAACTATATCCCCCATTCATAAAAAAAAATAATCACTAATGATTGGTGACTATAGTCAAATGCGCATTTCAGAAACACCCCAAAAAAACATCGATCACTTGAATAAACTAATGAAAAGATAAATAAATAAATACGATTAATAAATCGTGTTTCTTATCGACTTTCTCTCTCTCTCGCTCTCTTTTTTATACTTCTCTGCACGTTGTTAACATATTTTCAACAAATAAAAGAATAATCTATATACACAGAAATACTACAAAATTCAACATGTTAAATGTGGGCGATAGAATAGTGTGTTCAAAAGAATAATGACACTATGTTGAGCAAACACATCATACTTAAGAGTGACCCAAATTTGTAGATCAATTGTAGATTTTTTATTAAGATGACAAGCTAAAATAATTTAAGATTCTTACTCATGTTCAAAATAGATAGTCATAAATAATAATCTAAAACTTTTCTTATTTTATTTTTGGAATAAAAAAAGTTTCATGATTACTATTTTTTTTCAAGTTATTTAAATTAAGTTTCTAAAATTGACTATTTTGTCTAGAGGATTCTCCAGTGTCATAGGACTAGGAATAGAAATTCATTGTTTTCGCATACCTTTAATTAAAACTTTTTGTTCAACCAGTGGCAATTTATTATTCAATCGAAATTTTTGTCGATAATGATGGTGAGGAAAATGTATTAGACGATTCGAACGTTCATGTCGTTCTATTTCAAACATGATTAGACAGTTTAACAAAGTAAAAAAAGAAAATATATATATATATATATATTTCTAAGACGATTGAAAAGAGTTGTAATAGATTATTTATTTACAACCCGATCACTCAATCACATACACAAAGAAAAAGAAGGAGGAGAAGCGTGTCGTTGTTGGACAATAACAAAACAAAAAAAATAGAGAAGTAAAACGAAAGAAAGACGAAAAAAGCAGTAGCACACACGTACACCCAAACACAGAATAACAGATTGTATAACAAGGACAAACTTTATCCATTTGGGAGAAGTAACAACATCATGAAACAACAAATTGCATGAGCAAGATCATCATTTCATATACAAAATCGAAAGATCTAAACAGCATTCTTTTACATTAATAAAAAATAAAATATATAAAAGTTTAAATTAATCATTTTGCTAGAGTAGATATATGAATTAGATCGACTATTTTCATTAATATTTAACACTTATTCCATTATTAAATACAGTGAATATTTTGAGACTATCATTATAAATTATGACTAATCTTTAAGAAAAATCCGAATCGATTATTTAAATCTATTGACATTATGGTGAAAAAACAAACAAATAATCTCTTTCCTCCAGCATTTAACAGTAAAAGAAATCGTATCACTCAATTTTTATTTTTACGTCTTTTTAATGATTGTTTTTTTTAATCTTATAGGTAAGTATTCTCTATAAACATTGTTTGGTTTCTCGCTCGTACACATTTAACACTCAAGGTTATTTTCAAAGACGAATAGTAATAATAATAATAATAATAAATTACAAATACTATTGCAATTTTAAGATCTTTTCTTTTTTTTTTGAATTTTATGCTTACTTCGCTGATCATTTGTGCAAAAAAAAGAGAAAATAGAAACGATAGAGTAGAAAGATTCGGAAATCTTATATACTTCGAAAAATATGAACGAATAAAATAAAAATATCAATTATTTAATTATTTTTCTTTCATTAAAGTACGAAATCTAGTATGATAGAAAAATAGAATTCTAAAATCTAGTCAGATGGAATACTCGTTGTGACATCAACTTTTAACAACTAAAAGTCATTAATACCATAAAGATAGAGAATCTTCGATTAAAAATGATAAAAAATGTCATAAAAACGACAATTTGTGAATATCATCTTTCTTTATGGATAATAATACAGAGTAAAATATTTCATGAGTTAACCCTTTGGCTGCGGGTATTTTTTTTGAAAAAACTTACAAAATTTCTATTTTACTGTCTACTCCATTATAAATTAATGTGTATTTACAGTTTATTGAAAAATTTTATAAATATGCGTATTTATGTGACGCATATTTATGTCACCCGCAGCCAAAGGATTAAAGTGCTAACAGACGTGTTTGTTTGTTGACGTATGTAACTTAGAAGTTAATTACAAAAAATTTTCGCATGTTGAGTGACCCAGTAAAAATGACATTTTTGTTTTTAGATTTCTTTGTAGATACTTATCGAGTAAAAATTTGGGCGTAAGGTCTCATTCGATTGAGAATTTCATTCTCGACTAAATTTAGTTGATTTAGTTCTGGAAACAGTCTTTTTAGAGCAAATCAACAGAACAGAGAGAGTTTTCTATTCTATCGATCGATCGATCACGAGAATTTTTTTCTACATTCGAAGTGTAAAACTGACTTCATTGTAGAACAAGATGTATTTGTAATAATTTTTGAAGGCATAGTAAGAACATTCAAAACATTTTACTTTGCCGTATTCTACAACAAAAGGAAAGACTAGTTTTTTAGCTAGTTTAGCCGAAAATGAAATTGTCAATCAAATAAACCTGAAAATAAATATTTATTCTGTGAGTACCTACGAAGAAATTGAAAAACAAAAGTTTTTGGACCACTTGATAGACCGTCTTTTCTTAGAATTTTGAAAATATATTTTTAATGACAATACAAATTTTGCCGTATCAGACATTATTTTTAGTGCATAGTTCAGCTAACGAGGAAATGTTTTTAAGTGCTCCGTCGCTTTTTCAACGAAACCTAGTGGGTTATAGGTTATCGATGATGTTAATTCCAAATATGAATATGAGAGGTCGAGAGGTATTCGAAGACCCGGTTTTCTGGAAAAGCAGTTTTTCAAAAACTCTGAAAAACAACTAAAGCTTTTCTTAATGAATCATGCTTGTAGCTATGACATTTCTGATTAAAATGAGAATCATCCCCTCCCAACTCTACATGACCTTTTTTCCAAAGTTATAGACTTTATACGAAAAGCCCTAAATTAATTTCTTCTTATTTCTGTAGCTTTGAGCTGACAATGAATATTTAGGGTTTTTCTTGTAAATTCTATAATGTCATGGCTACAAGCATGGTTCATTAATAAAAGCTTTAGTTATTTTTCAGAGTTTTTGAAAAACTGGTTTTCCAGAAAATCGGATCTTCGAAGCCATAAGAGCAGCTCTCATATTCATATTTGGAATCAGCATCATCGTTAACCTATAACCCACTAGGTTTCGTTGAAAAAGCGAGAGGGCACTTAAAAACGTTCGCTCATAAGCAAGTACTATATGCAATTAGTTTTTAAAATAGATGTTAATAAGTGCAAATAAAACTAAATATGGAAGCATTTTATAATTACCTGTTTTCACTGTTGATGTTGTATCACTATTATGATCCGTTATTACTGTTCTATCTTTCACTGGTACAGCATCTGAATCAACGCTATCATTATCTTCATCGTCAAAGTCGTCTTCAAATTCATCTGTCTGGTAATCTCCCTCTTTCGTACCAACTACAACGTCATCATCATCGTCATGATTCAAATAATCAAATGCCTTTTCAACCATAGCACACGCTGTTTCAGTTTGAAGTGAATAACCTGTTGCTATCGTTGGTGCTGTTGTTGTTATTGTCGAATTTTCATCGTATGGTTGCTCTTGCTCTTTTTCTTGCGGTAATGTTAATGGAAAATCTGTTTCTTGTAATAGAGGTGATTTCCTAATCGGTGTCGATTCGATATATGTTGATATTGGACGTGATCTAACACCGATTAGAGTAATATTGGAATCATTTTCACTGATTATATTTTCACTGTTATGATTCTGATGATTATTTGACGTGAACAATGATTTTTTAATTAAATGTGGTGAATTATGTTGTTGTTGAGACGACGATGGTTGACTAGGTGTGGATACTAATGGTCTCATATTATACGAAGTCGACGGTGGAGGTGATGAGTTTGAATGATACGTTTTCTGAGGTGGTACTGCTGTAGATGATGAAATGCCTGGATGTTCAATGAGTTCTGCCGGTGTGTCATTGTGTAATTGTGCTTGACGATCGAATAAATTATGACCCCGACTTTTACGAATATTTGTAGGAGATGTCATTTTATCTAAAAGATACCGAAAAACATTAAATAATAAACTCACTGTATTTGTAATCTATTTGCGAGAAATTATTATTTCGACAAGACGGTTGAAATGAGACGTAAAATGAGAAACGATAGACATAAGAGCGTCCATTATAGGATAAATATGCATAACTCGATTAGAGTGTTGCTGAGCAGAACAGAGCCCCGACCTATCTGTACTATCCCGCTAGAAAGGCAGTCTCGGGACAAAAGTTGGTTGGACTCGTGGATTCCGAGCAAACCGCAAGCGAAGGCTGTTAGATAAATTTTATCTTTTGCTTCTAATTATGCTATAATTCAAATGTTTAATTCCCGTAAATAAACAAGCCATAATCTTGAAATAACTAATAAAAAGTAATCGGGAGAGGAGAAATAGTTTAAATTTAAATTTGAGACAATGTCTTATACATGAAACTCGATTTATAATTCTTCCATTTTGATTCTGAGCTAGTGAATGAATGTAAAACATATATTTAAAAATGAACTTTCAAATATAGAATTAAACAAATTAGATTTCAAATTTTGACATGAAGAATTTTAATAAATTGAGAGTTTAAGGTGAGATACTAGCTGAAGTTCAGTTCAAAACGCGTACAATAGATATACGAAGCGATACTGTCAATGGCACGATTTTCAACTCTCATCTCCATCTAGACAAGCGTCCTTGTAACAGTGACGATTTCTGTGAACAAAAAAAAGTTTTTGAAAAAACTAAGGGGCTAAAAATCCAGTCACTTTTTTCACAAAACAGAGGACATCTGTTTTTCGCTCACGGATTTGAGTTTGCGGAACGGGTTAAAAATTTTTGTATACGAGATCAGGCTCACGATTTCGAAGCAACAAAAAAATTTGTCCTGTAGAACTCTAAACTTGATCCCATTACCAAGTTTGGATACAAAATACATATTCTTGCACATGTCTAACAACGTTATCAATACCGCAGTACATTTTTAAAGAAGACAACTTCTTTTTTTTTCTAAATTATATCTTTTTCTATTTAGATATCAGCTATATACAAAAATATCCATTTAATTATGCACTAACTTAGCTCTAACAAAAGTTTTGATTATTAAATAATGTCTATAACTTTGAATTTTTGTATATGAATGATGTCAACATTTCGTATGAACTCACGCTAAGGATAATGATATGATTGTTGTTTTTCAATGAAATACTAAAAGAAAAGAAAGTGCACACCTGATAATAATATTTCATATGTATATACAATTATTCACAACGTTAGGTAAATAGACACAAAAGAGATTTGATCTATATTTCTGCCTTTCTTTCTTTGTCACACGTCGAGAAGAAAGCAACAAGTAAAAAAAAAAAGTTTTTTTTTTTTTGTCACACAACTATGAGAGAACATGTATATCCATATGAAAAATATTATTATGAACTTTTAACACTATTTTATATAAGATCATCTTGCGATATGTCTTAGCTGCCCTAACATATGAACGAAAAAAAATATATATATACAGAACATTAGCAATCAAATCGAGCATTTGCATGTTTTTTAAGAAAATACTATCCAGAAGCAAACTACAATATTCAAGAGAATATAAAAAAGAAGAAGGCGTAGTACGCATGATTTTACATCCACATATAAACGTGTACAAATAGAATATAAATAGATTCAAAAATTATATTCTTATTTTTTCTAAGGCAAAATAGCAATTTTAAATTAAAAATAAAAAGAGGAGAGAAAGATCGTTTCATATAAGACATGTTCGAGAATAAGATCTAAGTCAAGAGAGCCAAAATTTCAAATAAATTATCATATTGAAATGTTGAGAAAAAGGTGTGCTCTATTATTTGATTTGTATTTTAAAATGAATGGAACAAAATGTCAAAACAAAAAAAAACAAATTGATCAGGTTATAATGACTTCTCTTGTTTTTTATGTTTTGATGATGATCAAGACACGTTTACAAAAAGAGAGAATCAATTACAAATAGTAATTATTCAAACTTCAACTAAAAAATTGACGTTACCTGATCAAATTATGTTTAAGTATTAGAAGAAGAAGACGAAAAAAAAAAAAGAAGTACTGTAGTCAGTCATATTTGCTTTTTGACTTTGATATGTTAGACAACAAGAATACCCATTAGTTTTTCTTTTTTATGATGTCATCCCACACTCGATATATAAAGTTGCAGATCGAAAGATCACCTTTTTACATTAGAAGAAAATTAATATCAAAAAAAACTAAAAACAGAAAAGAAATTGATAATTTACACAGATTCTTTCACTTCGGGATAGAGAATATTTCATTGTATATAAAAAGAGTAAAATAAAAACTAAAAAAAACTGCAAGTCAATTCTATCATCTGTCTTTCATTCATTATGTGATTACTTAATACAATATTTTCCTCAATTTTTTGTAATAAAAATAGAAAAATAATAACAAAAAACATTATTTGTATACTCACAATTAATTTTCATTTGTTTATGTCGATACATCATGCTCGGTGTTTCTCAAATTTAGAATACACACACACACACAGACACACGCACACACCACAAACGACAATTGAAATAATAAATGTTTTATATGTTCATAGTTTAATAGTTAAAGTGTTGTTCGATCTAATTTTGTCTGTTTTTCTTCTTAAATCAAAGTAATATGTGTGTGTGTGTGTCTATAGTTCTGGTTTTAATCAAGGTAATAGTGGTGTTCCCTTCTTTTTTTTTCTTTTTTTTCTTGTTAATATTGTCCGATGAGTATGTATGTATGTATGTATGTATATGTGTGTATGTTTGTGTGAACGTCGTACATTAAAAAAAAAATGAAAGAGTTGTGTAGTGCGATTACAACGTTTAGTACTCAATATATATAAACGACACATACACATATAAATTGTTTTTTAGGCTCTAAGCGGATCATGCTCATATACATCAAACATACAGTGTGAGAAGAAAGAAAAAATGAAAAATAGAATTCTTTTGTTATAAAACGATGTGTCTGACTTGCGTACATTTATTTATTATATACATACAGTTTTTTTTTGTTGTTGTTATACAACATTTCTCGATTTCTTAAGAAAATGTTGGTTTATATATGAAGACAAATGATTCTCAATTATTATGTGTTCACAAATATAGATCTAATGTCAGACATAAAATTTACAAGAATATATTGTGTAATATACATAATAATACTAATCATGCACATAACAATTTTACTCATGTACTCATTTGTCTTAAACCCTAAATCTGATAAACGTCTCTAATTGAGCACAAGAATGACAGTAGAAAATCTAGAAAAAAATATTTTTACCATGGGGATCATGAAATAAAACTCATATTTGTAGAAAAAAAAAATGTTTTCAACGAAATAAATAATATTTTTATTAACGATAATATTTTGCTAGCCATCAAATTTCTAATATTCACGTTCATTTTTCTTTTCCTAATAATTACAATAATCTTTGGCATTTATTTAATAACACACATTTTTTAAAACAATTGTAAGATTATCTCTTGCTTTTCACTGAACACACTTCTTCAATGTACGTGCACTACATACAATTACAAGGCTATCATTTAAACTATTGTATAAATATGACGTAACAAAGACATCTAGTGTTTTATTTACACCTGAATAAAAAAAAAAAAGTAACAAAACTTGACTTTTATATTCAAATGAAGACGTACTGAATCAAACACCTTTACACACAAGTAGGAGTACATATCTACTAGACTTAGATCTCCGATTGCAATCATTATGAAATACACCTTTATGCTAAAGTATATAACAAATTAGGCAATTCGTTGTGTGCATATATAAAAGAAACGAGCCGCATCATGAAAGTGCAATCCATGAGAGGAGATAAAGAATATACTTTGAAATCCTACTACTGAGATAGAATTCATAAAACTAGAAAACAAATGTGAAAAAAGCGTTCATTTCTTCTTTTTGTTTATGAAAAAAAAAATAATGCGCTCTCTCTCTCTATGCACGTTTAATTCGTTTAATTATTATATTTTTGAAATAGTGAAATTTCACATTTAGAGTATTCTCCTACTTTGATCGCAACAAAATAATGAAGCTTTTTCCATCGAGAACAGACTATAGATTTCTTTTTCTTATCATACGTTAATATACAGCTTGATTCATTCCCTTATTTTCAAACAATTTTTGTCAGTTAACCGTATTTCTGTCAAACATAAGACATTTTTTATTTTTATATGGCGAGATAGAGCATTCATTTCTCTATCGAACTGTATATTTTGTACTTGATTCATCTTGACCGAGAATTTAGTGAAATTCTAAAAGCCTTCACGGTAATATTTAGCTGAAACTACATTCGATTGGCACGAAAATGGTTTCATATTGAAGAGATCTATCAAAGCCGTGTTTGTACAAAGTATTGAATGAAACTGTCGTGTATTCGAGGAAAAAGTTTTTTAAATTTTAAGTCATCTGGCACTTTTCGTTACAGAAATGAAAAAACAGGTTTTAAGGCTATTCGCATAATGTAGAATTTATGTAAAAGCTCTTAGCTAAACTAAACTAAGATTAGATAATTCAATAAAGAAATGAACGCTCTATCCAGACATATAAAAACGAAAAAGATTTATATGTCTAGTGGATTTTAATCACCTACGAAAAATACCGAAAATCCTACGACAAAAGATTTTTTTGAAGGCTTTTAGAATTTCACTAAATTCTTGGCCAAGATAAGGAATAAATCAGAGATAAAATACACAGTTCGATAGAGAAATGAATGCTCTATTCAGCCATATAAAAATAAAAAACATCTTATGTTTGGCAGAAATAGAGTCAACTGACTAAAACTGTTTGAAAATAAGTGAATCAAACTGTATATTATTCTAATTCCTTTTGCTTTTTACTAATTAACATATTTTCTACAAAAACATAAATGTGATAAATTCGAATCGTAATAAAACACTCTTATTTCTCGCTAATTCTGTCAATAAAATAGAAAAGTTCTATTCGATTTCGGTACTCACATCAGAAATTTTACAAAAACAGACGAGAATATAACAAGATTTAATAATATGTATCCAATTGGCAATTTTAAACAAGAGTAATTAAAGGCTACAACAAAAAATTTAAGGAATTCTGTGATTCTATAGTTTTATTTATTATAATTTTTTTGTTTTTAAAATGACGCTGTAAAATTAAACAAAGATGATTCATCATTTTATTTATTCAAATACCCATTGGCTCATTTTTCGCCACTCATATACAAATCACTTGAATTAAACTTTTAACAGTTTAAATGAATTTTAAAATATAAAACATCGTTCTGGCCATATTCTTACTCAACTACACTTGTTTTCAAAAGTCAACTACTTCATCTCTTATTAGAGGTACTCCATGACAGTTGATGAAGGTTAACCACAGATGGTCGCCGTTTAATGCACCGAATATCTGCTAATACTATAAGCTTCTCGTTTACTGCATATTCTTCGTTCAAATGGAAAAAAGTTGTCGTGAATCTTATAAAGGAGTTTTAAATGTTAGCAGATAGTATGCGGTTATGATGAGAAGATTATTCATAACCTGTTTATTCTCTAGATATGCTGCAACCCGTTTTTTCGCTTCAATTAAGTAATAAGATTATTCCTCGAACTGTGGCTATTGGTAAATTTAATGGAAAACGACCATGTTTAGTTGGCGCTACTTCTGGCAACAAAGTACATCTAAAAGGTTTACTTGGTCTATCCAAAGTTAGTTCTATCGTTCCGTTGTTTTTCCTAGGTATTTATTCACACTCCTCATGATGGTACGAATCAAAATGTCGCATCTGAATCTCTTGAGAACACAGTTTCTTTGCTGAATGTTAATCAAGTTGTGACATCATTAGCAGTAGGTAGACTAGATGAACAATTACACAAAGATTTATTGGTAGTGGGGACAAATACGAGTATTCTCGCTTATGATATTGATCGAAATACTGATTTATTTTTCAAAGATGTACGTATCTATGCAATATTTAGATCTATTTTTCTAATTTTTATCTTTTGTTTTAGATACCCGATGGTGCTCATGCACTCACAATTGGAAGATGGGGTGAATTGCCAGATAGTTTAGCTATTGTTGGAGGAAATTGTTCGATACACGGTTTCAATAAGAAAAGTGAAGATGTGTTATGGACAGTAACAGGAGATAATGTTTGTTCATTAGCATTGCTTGATTTTAACAATGATGGCTATAATGAGGTAAGATTTTAAAATTTAAAATATATTTTAATAAAATTTGTTGTTTACTTTTAAGCTTGTTGTTGGTAGTGAAGATTACGATATTCGAGTATTTCGTGAAGATCAATTAATTGCAGAAATGCAAGAATCAGAAAAAGTCATATCCATTTGTCCTCTCGTTGGTGCACGATTTGGTTATGCACTATCAAATGGAACTGTTGGAATTTACGAGAAAAATCTTCGAAATTGGAGAATAAAAAGTAGAAATATTGCTATGGTTTTAGCATCGTTCGACGTTGATGGAGACGGAGTACAAGAATTGTTGACAGGCTGGAGTAGTGGCAAAGTAAAGAAAGTGTTTTCATGTTCAAAAACACTCTGTCTAAATATTATTTATTTGTATTATTATAGGTTGATGCTAGAAGCGACAGAACTGGTGAAGTTATTTTCAAAGACAGTCTCGGAACATCGGTAGCAGGCATCGTAAGAGTAAGTGCACAGAATTCATATATTTTTAGTTGTAAGAAAACAATGTAAAGTTTTCAATTTGACTCTTTTTTTTGTATCTGTTCTAGGCTGATTATCGAATGAATGGTGAAGAATTGGTCATTTGCTGTTCGAACGATGGGGAAGTGAAAGGCTTCAAATTTTCTGATGATGACAAATCAGTAGCAGCTAGTGCCTATAAAGATCGTCAAGAGGCTATTCGAGATTTAGAATTGAGAAAACAAGTATGTATGTATTTATACTAGATTTAATTGTTTTATATAGGACAAAACACAACCTGAACATATAGTGAGTGGAATAAGTGTTCGTACGATAAAGACAAAAATATGTTGCGTTATTATCTTTTAAATAAATAAAGTTAGATAAAATATCTTTTTTACCATTGTCAATCTAGTTATTTTCAGTGTTTACTTTTTCAAAGATAACAGATTTTTAGAGAAAACAATTCTCTACAAAATGAACTATTATACTTTTGAAAATAGTTTACATATGATAAAGTATACACCATTCTATTTCAGTCATTATATAGAATAATATTTTCTTCTTTTCTCCTTAGTATCAATAGACGTTTATGGACAAAGGGTTTTTTACGAGTTTTAGGTAGAGAAAATAACTTTTTCTGTATAACTTGACTAATTTATTAGACAGTTTAATGATCATCCATCACATCGAGTTATTTCTGAAAATGTATTTTTTCCATCGTATAGCCCGTACGTTGTTCTTTCAAATGGTATATAAGTAAAAATTTTATCTGCTCGATAAATATCAAAATAGATGTGAAAAAGTGATCGTTGAGCGAAAAAACTAGATCAACGTTAAAAATCTACTGTTTTTAGATGGTAAAACTTGCGATAAAAATTTACAATTAATACTGAATAAAGCTATCGAATATTAAAAAGTTATTTTTTAGCTTTATTCGTTCAAAAGATAATAACATTATATGGGTTTTTGACTTCATTGTACAAATATTTATTCTACTAGTGGAATAAGTCTTAATAATTATGGCAACTATCATAATACTTCTTGATTTTCCTACTCTTATCGCAATATATCGATAAAAAGTAGAGCTTTTATGATCATGGGCTCATCTCTATTTTATTTTCTAGGCAATTCGGCTTGAACTACATAATCTTGAAGAGGCAGCTAAAAAATCTTCATCTCCTGCAAACGTTAGATCAATGCCATTAGATAGCGAAGCTGAAATTCCAGTAAGATTACTCTCATCTCGTTATTTTAAAATTAAGATTTAATTTTTACTTATTGATGTAGGCTAATACACAAATTCAAACATCAGTATCAGTTGAACGAGTTAAAGGAGACTATCCGGTAAATTATATATACTTTATCGCATATGTTTGAAAAAGGACATGATTTATTATGGTTGTAGGCACATATTGCATTCAAAATGAAAACATCAAATGGTAAGTCAATAACAATGAATTTTTAATCTCTTATCACTAATTATTTCTAGCAACCTACAATGAATCGGTCGTTTTTAAAAACCCTACTTTTTCAAGAGAAAAAAATGACAAAATTTTTCTTTTTCAATACGATGCTTTTTTACATATTTAGATACGATTATTCGTACTGTTACTGTTTTTGCTGAAGGCTTATTTAAAGGAGAATGTTTAGTTGTGTAAGTCTTTTGATGATTCAATAATTTAAATTAAATATCTATTTTCATTACTCTTCTAGTCATCCAGCTGCAAATCAAGTTCGAGAATCTTTAGTATGTCCAGTAATTCCACCTCGTGATATTGCACTTGATTTACATGTTCAAGTATTTGTTGGATTAAAATCAAGGTGTTTTGTTTATTCTGTTGAATTCTCAATCTATTTCTACCTTTATTCTTGTTGTTGTTTTTTCAGTATATTATTTCATGTTTTCGAATTAAGTCGTCCACTTCCAACATTTTCTATGTATGCTCTCATACCAAACACACTAGAAGAACCAAAAGGATTTGTCACATTTTATATCAATGAAAGAATAGCCAGAGTAAATCAAATTTTGAACATGTAATAAAAATCTATTTCATATTTTATATTTTAATTATTTAGATTGTTGTGTGGATCAATCATCATTTTTTGTTACAAGAAGAGTATAGTTGCTCAACAGCGTTAAATATTCAGTTTTTAGCATTAAGAACAGAACAAAAATTAATTATCAAAATGCAAACGAATGGTCAAGTAATAATAGCTGAAAAACATTATATTTTTTTGAAAAATTGAAGTTTATTAGAAAAATAAATCTTATTTAGATGACAATTATGACAGATGATATGGAATTAGCTGGTAACATCATTCAATCAATGGCAAAATTTTTAAATATTGAAGATTTACAAACAACATGCGAATTTCCTAGTGAATTGGAAATGCTTAGTCGTGTATTCTTACATGTATGTATTACATATTATAGTTGGATTTAAATTGATAGAGAAAATAATGATTTTATTTAAAGATTGACGAATCTAATAGTGTAAGACAAAAAATATCATCGGATATGGCTGAACATGCAAATATTATCCGAAGCTTTTTAGTTCGAGCAGAAGATTCAAGGCTTATTGGTGATATGTAAGTTTAATATCAATCGATCTACATCAAATAAAGTGTTCATTAGCCGTATATTTTAGTGGTGCTATGAAACGTCATTATTTCGATTTGATTTCATTAAATCGTGATTTAATCAATGGTTATCGTATTCGTTGTACAAATCATGAAGAATTGTTAAAAAATTTAAGATTTTTAAATCAAACTATTCAAAAAGCGGGAAATCTAAGAGGTATTCTAGCTACTTTGATCTTCAAAAAATAACAACAGTATTATTAATTATTTATTCGTTTTTAGTTGGTAAATACAAAACCATTGTCATTAATAATTGTCGTGCATCTGTCAAAGCGAACAACGTTGCTGCATTAATAAAATCAATTAAAAGTGGAAGTGTATGATTATCTTATGGACAAACTGAGCAAAATTTATATCGTATAGTCATCGCCTTTTGTAAGATCTCATAACAGAATCGTATGATCATACAATAAGAAATAAAGAGTCAAAAATCGTACTCACAAGATTTTTTCAAGATCATTGATTATTACAAAATCTTGCTCCTTTTATAGTCTTATTTTGTGAGTTCTTATAGCAAGAAGTTACGCAATCTCGGGAGATCTTGTTCCAAGATTTCTTAAGCAAACCATTGGTTCTTTGTAAGGTGAATTTTACTTGGGTACGCGATGGATGTTTTTTTCTACGTCTATTTTAAAAATGTGAATTTTCTTCTCATATTTTTCTCTCTGTATTTTGACTATTTTTGTTATTGTAAATTTGCATTGTTAGGTGTATTTTTGTCATTGGTTTTGTGACATTTTCGAAAAATCGTTAAGTTTTCTTCAAAAAGAAAAGGGAGAATGAAAAAATGTGAAACATATTACGTACGAAGAACAATAAAAAGTATAAACCAAAATTAAATTAAATCTCAATATAAATGAAAAGACATGTGTTAATTTTCCAAATCATTTTAACACAATTGCGACTTCAAATTGTGTGTGTAATTTTTTAAATTTGTGACGAATTAAAACAAATGTACATTTGAAGTGTCTTCGAGTACGACTGAATAAAACGTTGAAATACGTGATGATCTAATAACGAAAAATCCTAATTATTATTACACACTATATTGTATTTTCTAATCATAAGGTCGGATTGTACTTATATTACCTGTAACAAAGTATTTAGGCTCAATGACGCTCTCGTCTCAAACACAAAATTCTACTTAAGTTGATCTTATATTAGAAATAGTTGCTATATTTTTTATCATTAGACGTCTTAAAATTTCATTCATTTAGGCTTTGTACAGTAGTACTGATATGGAAAAAGGTGACAGTGTCCAGCATATATTAGGAGAAAAAATACTAGAAACTACTCATAAAACAGTAGAATGCAAATATAAGTATCCTTGGATCGCTGTGCTCCATTTTTTCCAAAGTATTCAGGTCCTTCATGATTAACACTATTTTAATCACGGTTAAATAAACAATGTGACCGCGCTAATCATGATTAAGAACAGCAAATAAATACGGAAAGTGCTCTAAAATTGGCTCAGTTTTCCAGAGTAAAGTTTGCATTGGTCAAACCTTTAATTGAAAACATAAATTTTTATCGGTAACTTTGCAATTTTTGAAGTAACCACTAATAACTGCGTTACTTGTTACTAGTAAGAAAGTCATACATGTGTGTTACTTAGTTACTCTTGATAAAGTAACAAAGAACAGGTTTTTTGTTCTTTTCTCAAAAAAGCTTTCTGAAAAGGGTTTTGTGGGGGTGAGGGTGAAATAATTCCATCCTTACCCTCACCAAACCCTTCAAAAAGCACACCCGTCAAAGTGCAGTTAAGTTTTTAAAATATTATTGAGTCGTTTTCCCTCGATGTTGTAATTTTGGCACAGGTTTTCCATTTCTTTTCAAATATAAGTGTTATATGGCTTTATGTAAAAGTTAGAATATTTTCTCTCCACTACTCACTCACGTTTACGTAGAATAGTGAACGAAGAAAATACAACACGAAGTTTATTCTGGGATCTACCACTCATAACCTGGCCATTTTTCGACGAAACTGAACAGTTTGTTTAGTATCAGAATTTTTGTGGGAAAATAGTCAAACGTCGACGGTAAAATGTCGACAAAAAAATGCCGAAAATCAAATATCGACCGAAAAAACATGTCGACAATGTAAAAGGTCCACATCATGAAATACAAAGAAAAGAAGCTGATGATGAAAAAATAAAATTGAAGCATGAATAAATTAATTTTATGGTTTATTAGGTAAAATTCGAATACATGTCAATGAAAAATAAAATAAAAATGCATATGAGTGAGAACGAAGAGCTAGAGTCATACATGTACCAACACGTTGGTATAATTTTCATTTTGTGCCGACAATATCGCGAACGACATTACCGCGAAGACTCGTTTATTAGAAAAGAAGAATAAATGAGCCTGGTTTTGTATTTTATATATCATGTCGCGGGAGATGGGGAGGGGGAAGGGCATTGTGAGAGTGAGTTCGAAAAGTAGTTTCACACAAAACATATTTTCATGATGCACTACTAAATATTTGTGACTGTGTCAGATAATGACTAGTCACCACGCGTCGCTGATATGACGCAAAATCGATTTATTTTCTTGACGTCGATTTTCCAGAAAATCTAGACACATTTTATGAAAAGTGTAAAATTCTTGAAAATCACGGTTTTAAGAAAGTAGAAAATAGCTGCTGAGTTCCTATCTGGACAAACTGAAAATAGTTTTTTATTTTCCATAACTTATCTTCAAGTTTACAGTGCATCTCCTCATATATTTAATATTAAAAGCTTCTGCTTTTATAGAGTAGAAAAATTAATCTATTCTCTTTCGTTATTTTTGAGAAATTAACTTAAATAGTTGAGTGAGACAGAAACTAGGTAAGTTCGAGATGGATCAAGTAGATTAGTAGATAGAGATAGCAAACAAAGCTAACAAATATAAAGATAAATGTTTTTTTGGTTTTCTGTGCCTCTTTTTTCTATATTGAGTAAATACTTAAAACATAAAAGAAAATATGTGTTACAAATATTCAAAAACGGGGATAAGAGGATTTGAGCACGCACAATAAAGTATTCATCCTACACGCTTCCGTGGTTATATTCCTCTTATGTACTTGATCTGTCGTTATCCTTTACACACCATGCCCTGGAAAACCAAATGATAAATATAAAGTATAAGGCTGTACGTTGATGCAGAGGCTAGAGTGTTAATAGATAGTTACTTCAAAGTATTTTGGTTGTTCATGAAGAAATTCTTCGATTTCGCAGCATTTTAAACTTGTCTCTCTCTGTTGCTGCTTATAGTCATCAGTAACTCCATTACACACACTGTCTGATAATGTAATAATCATTGCACGTAAACCATGGTCTGCTGTCATAGAGATGTATTCAGAACGACAAGAGATTTCGACTTTTTGCGATCTCGTATAAAAGAACAAACATTTATTTGAATAACATGACGTTTGGCGATTGAAACAATGACGTATGGTTACTGCGCTACGAAGTTTTCAAACCTAGTCAAAATCAAGGCTTCGATTGATTCCCGTTTTGAAGAGGACACCAGCACTATCAGCCTATGGAGAAAAAAACACAATCCTATTGGAAGTTTTTTACACACGGTCTAGTTTTCCAAAGATCCTCTCAAAAAACCTGTTTCAGAAAAACTCTTCTGAAAAACTTTTGGTTTTAAAAATATGTCCCGAAGTCTCTTTTTACGAATGGTGAAAACGAGAGTTCTCTAGCTTATTTCTATTGAAAGTTATTCGAAAAATAGCCATACATCATTCTTTTTTTTCGTACACCACATTATTTCAGACATCGAGGAACAAAACCTAACTAGTCCAGTATTTCCTGATATGTCCAAAGCGTTTGTTAAGTTATGGATTAAAGCACTGATTCACAAGTTGTAATGTAACGGTATATTGGTAATTTATCTAATTGGTTGGAGAGCTACTTAACTCACCCAAATGATTGAAGATGAGAATCCAGACACACTTAAGCCCCCAGCTCCAGCCAGATCTATGGTAACTACTAAACGCATCTGTCTAACTCTTCCAGATAATGGCTCTTAAGGGCCCCCTCCTCCCCATCAAAAATTATCTCCGACAGCGTACATCCGATCTTGACGCAACTTTTTTAGTTAAGTCTTTGTTCGTTTTGTAGACAACCAACGACCTGAAAAACCCGAAAAACGCTCCCTGGTATTCCGGAAATTCGCAATTTGACAAAAAACTAAAAACCATTTAAAAACTCGGCTCATGTAGTTAGGTGTCTAGTTTAAAATGAATTAAAGGCGAACGCTCTGGCTTGAAGTATATTAAAAAATCTTAGGTAATTAAAATTAAAAAATACTTCAGGTGTAACTCTCAAGTAGAGAAAATGCTGTAATAAAATACTCAGTTTTAGGACTTGTACGAAAATGCCTGTAACGTTTTGATGCAAGATCATACGGAGTTGTGCGACGTCTTATTTTGATCAGAAAAGTTTGCTCTACCATTTACACGTTCAGAAAGAAATTTAATTGCATAAGTATCCAAGAAAAAACTGTTATTTGAAGAGTTCGTTTTTCGAGACTTTTAGAAAACCTGGTCGAAAGCCGCTCGAGAATCACTTGTGTAACCGAAAGGAACATAGATTCTGAATCTTCAACCGTTTGGGTGAGTTAAGCAGCTCTCAAACCAATTAGATAAATTACCAATATACCATTACATTACAACTTGTGAATCAGTGCTTTAATTCATAACTTAACAAACGCTTTGGACATATCAGGAAATACTGGACTAGTTAGGTTTTGATCGTCGATGTCGAAACAATGTCTATTAGCTATACAAACAAATATTTCAGATACTTCTTTATCAGACGTTCTACCATCTTTTAGCAGTATTTCACCCTCACCGCCACAAAACCTTTTTCAAAAAAGTTTTTATGAGGAAACAAAAAGAAAATTGCTTTTTGTTACTTCACCACATTGTTTCGACATCGAGGATCAAAACCTAACTAGTCCAGTATTTCCTGATATGTCCAAAGCGTTTGTTAAGTTATGGATTAAAGCACTGATTCACAAGTTGTAATGTAATGTAAGCAGCAACAGAGAGCGACAAGTTTAAAATGCTGCGAAATCGAAGAATTTCTTCATGAACAACCAAAATACTTTGAAGTAACTATCTATTAACACTCTAGCCTCTGCATCAACGTACAGCCTTATACTTTATATTTATCATTTGGTTTTCCAGGGCATGGTGTGTAAAGGATAACGACAGATCAAATACATAAGAGGAATATAACCGCGGAAGCGTGCAAGAAGAGACATTGAACAATGCCTATAAAAAAATATGTCAGATAATTGAAGAACAACAAAATATTGATTAATTATTTTTGTTAATCCTTCTACATTTAAAATTGAGTGTTATATTCTTCTGTATGATAGACTTACTTTGTTGCTTGTTTTTTTATGAAATATTCTATATACTCACTCACTCACTCATTTCAGTATATTTTTTTAAAAAAATTATCATCTTTGCGAAATTTAACAGCTTTTTCTAGAAATAAAAGAATAAACAAACAAGTTAAATGTTGCCAAGAACAATTTAGCTAAATTACTTATCAATAATTGGATTATCAAGAAGGCGTGGTGACCTCACGATCGTGTAATCAATATCTTGACATTCTTTTTCGAGATATTCTTCCATAATGAACATCGAATTCAAATGACGACCAATCATTGGACGAATTATTAATTTAAAGTTCAGTGGATTTACGGTTGATCGGAAGAGAAAACAAAATAACTTTTCAAATTCGTTCATAATTCACATTTCTCTCTTGCTCCGCTTTACACTTTGTATAAAATGCTGTTATACATATTAAATGTTTTATTTTTGAATTTCTCATGGCTGTTATTATGGATTTCATTGAATCTTCATAGAATGTCATTGCAGATATTTGTAGACCAGCTTGACCTAATGTCGATAAAGCAACATCATGATCTTCCATTTTTGAAGCTAAATCAAGTGGATTCATCAAGTCACATTGAACATCCTAAACAACAGCTATCAGTATTGTGCATTACAAAACTGAAAAAGATGATAGAAAAATATCCTTTACTTAAAGAGCTTTAGAAACATAAACTGTAGAAATAATTCTAATATTAAACATTTGAATATTTTATTTTCTTGACTAACCGGCATTTTATCAACTCACTCACATCTGACTCACCTTTATAAATAGCTAGTGCATATTTATTTTCAAGTGTGGATGGTTTATATGCCGTAATTTGGTGGATTTCGAACTGATACCGTCACATTATAATTTCTTGTTGATGCTTGTGAAACAAGTTGAAGCCCAGTATCACCAGTGGCACCCAAAATAATCAAATTTAGTTTTTCAGCCGTTGAAGACGTAACTATTTTATGTTAAATCTATAACAGAACAACAATAAAGATGACTATATATTGACTGCATTATGTAATATACAGCTACTTAAAGCTTAGACTGAATATCGAGCTGAATCGAGCTCATTTCGATAGAATCTAAATAAAATTAGCTAACATTTAAGGACTTTGAAAAAAATAGCAAAAAACAAACTGTAAAAAACCGAAAAATATGAAAACTCACTGTGGCATCACTTTTCACTGGTTATAATCAATCAATGGGTAAAATGACACACTTTTACCGTTACGTGTAACATTTTTCCTGTTACTAACCTAGGCTTTCCCGAGTAAGGGACAGTCGAGTTCATAGAACTCTATATTGATAAAATTTTCAAGATTAGCAGAAAGCATTCAAGAATTAGCATCGAGTTTTTTTCCAGTTTCTGAAAGTTCAGAAATTCAGAATTAGCATCAAGTATTCAGAAATAAAAATCAAGCCTTTTCTTAATTCAAGAATTCAGGAATTCATAAACTTCAGAAACAGCCATCATGGATTTTTCTTAATTCAAAGAATTCAAGAATTCATAAATTACATTCATCTGTTTCCAATTCGAGAAAGGTTCAACAATTTAGGAATTGACAGACACCTTTTAGTTTTTGCAATCGAAAGAGTACAATAATTGAAAAGTTGGAAATGTGAGTTTTTATGAACTTCTTGAAAGGTCAAAAATTCCGGGAATTTGTATGGAATCGGTTTGAACTCACATATTCAGAATAGTCATAAATCGACGAATTGCGGGCATCAGAGTGGACTGTAGCGTATGATTCAATGTTAGGTAGCGGCTCACTCTCATCGTCCCACTCCACCCCACAACGCACTATGGTTACAAAGAGACTTCCTATTTGTTAGTCTCTGAATTAAAACTTATGTATTCTTTCAATTTCTGAATACTAGAATTCCAAGAATAGTTCAAACCGATTCGATACAAATTCAAAGAATTTTGGCTTTTTCGAATTCAAGAAATTGAGAAAAATCATATTGAATTTTTGAATTTTTGTATTCTTTTAATTGAAAAAACTCAAAAGTCTGGCTTCGTTTCTGCATTCTTGAATTAAGAAAAATCCTTTGATGGTTATTTCTGAATTCTGGAATTCCTGAATTGTTGAATCTTTCTGGAATTCGAAAACGATGAATTCAGTTTATGAATTCCTGAATTAAGAAAAATCAAGGTTTTTCTTTTTGAATACTTCATGCTACTCCTCTCTAGACCTATTTTTGTCTGGTCAGGGACAACTGGCCGAAATCGAGGGTCTCTGGAAAACCCTTATAACTCCTGAACGGAACTAACTAGAAAAATTGCTCGAAAATTTTTCTTCTTCTACAATTCGATGTCCCCCGGACTTGTCTACAAACTGACGAAAACCGTTTCGGGATATCTCTTTGCATTACCGAGTTATTCAAAGAGGCGCATAGTATCTTATATTTTGAATCCTATAGTAGTAATATGCATCAAAATCCTTTACATACCTGTCCTTATAAAGCACCAGGAGCTATCACAAAAGAAACTTTTGTATAGTACTCATATGAGTCACCGTCGGATAACAAGTTATTACACTCATTACTACACATCAAGATAAACAAGAATAACGTGAAAAGTTTTACCACTTTCTTACGAAGTTCTTACCAGGGTTGGCACCGGGCCATATTTTTAGCGGCCCGTCCCGACCGACTCAGTATTTACTGTGACGTATCCCGATCGGCCCGTATGAATTGATTGTTCAGCCTGGCCGACCCGAACTGTGATTTTATGCGACCCGAACTGTGATTTTATGCGACCCGACCGGCCCGGCCTGACTTGGCCCGACAAGTTTTTTCAACATTCTATGAAATGTTTATATTACCAATGTAGGTTAGGATAAGCATGAATTTTCGTTTATAATGATAAGGGCTACCAATGTTTCTATTGATCTGTAGTATATGATCTAACGACCAAAAAAAAAACAGTGCTTCCAATCGTGATTTTTCGTCGAATTTTTGAGTCAGTTTTATTCTGCCTTAAATATATTGCTTGTGCATTTCTTCACAAACCACTAATATAGTCTAAGTGTAGTTCAAGTGCATTTAGACTATTACAAGCTCAATTTTATTTTGAATCGATAATTATTGATTAGAATTCTTTTGCAATGTATTTAAGGCAGAATAAAACTGTCCCAAAAATTCGACGGAATCCGTAGCAACGGCATCCCTTCACCGTTAGATCAATAGACTAATGCATACTTTATCACAGAACTCTATTCTGTATGGATGATAAGACTCTTACGAAAGTCGCGGCACTTTCGAGCGTTTTCCTAAATTGATCATTTATTATTTCTTTAAATGGTGCAAAAATGATAACAGGTCGAGTAGGATTTACTATAAAAATAATAGACAAGATGTGAATGTACAAGAATTTATCAATATAATTCTTATATTCATGCTGAAACATTATATCTGTTCAGGGGTAGAATTTTTAGAATTGATAAGATAGTAACAGCAACTGTTTTTAGATTCATCTTTATTTAATAAAAATTAAAATTAAAAATTTTTTTTTTATAAATAAACCTTTTTGTAAAAATAAAGTCAATATTTAACAGTTGAGACTCTATAATGCTGCCATAAATATTTTGAAACATTATATCTGTTCAGGGGTAGACTTTATTTTTATAAAAAGGTTTATTCAAAAAAAAATTTGATAAATTTTAATTTTTATTAAATAGGGATGAATCTAAAACCAACTGGTGTTACTATCTTATCAATTCTTATATTCATGCTGCGTAACATGTTCATAAGATAATTTATCTGACTAGAAAGCGTAGCTATAGACTTCAAAAGATTAAACATAGAATTGATTTCTAGAAAAACACAGAATAAAAGATTGAGAAGATCAGTCAACCTGTAAAACACTATTAGATACCAAGAGTACTCTTTTCTGTGCATAAGTTTACTACTTACAATTTGGAAAGAAGAATCTTATTTCTCTTTCAGTACTAACAGGTGAATCACTTCCATGCACAGCATTTTTCTCTTCATTTGTGCCAAAAAGTGCTCGAACACTAATTAAAACAAGACGAACAAAATAACAACAACATAAACTGCTACTCTGAGCGAAAGAGTACCCTACTACGTACCTGTCAGGATGTGATTCTCTGGCTTGGGTTTGTCGGCCCGTTCTTCTTCTTGCCACGCATCTATTGCATTTTCTCTTTCCAACACCATGGTTAATATTGGCCACTCGTCATGAATGCAACGAGAGATGGAAAAAACTTGCCATAATGCTTACTGCCAGTATAGAACATTGTTCAGCTGTCAATGTAACTTGACGCTTCTAAAGTGGAAAAGGACATTCAAATAAATGGCATATTATCAGAGGCGAACACACTTGTACGATGGTAAAACCATTTTCCAGTATCATATCTTTAATCTCATTTGGATTTTGAATTGCATCTGGTTTAATGAGTGCCAGCGTTCGTTTATCTTTCTGACCAGTATATGTTGAATCTTTTTCCATAATAAGTAGAAATCTAGAAGTAATAATTAGACCGGGAAAATCAGCTATTAAAGTAAACTCCAATCCAATGCAAAAGTCCATGATGAAAAGTTTTTTTCGACACACTTCACTGTCAAAAATTCAGTCATGTCAAGTATAATAAAAAGTCGCTTCAGGCGTCTGACCTATTCACTTTGAACTGATTTTCTATTGGTTGTTAGTGTAGAGAGATCAGACGGTTGAAATGAGAGTGATGTCAATTCAAAGACTGCAATACAGAACTATGCAGACTATGAGAACTTTGAAGCACAGATCAACACCATGAAAACTATTCACAACTTGGAGAACTATTCTGAACTACGAGAACTATTCATGGAGAACTGTCCAGTTACCCTCCGGTTAATCACAATCTTATTTGGAGATCAAACTTTTAAAAAGGTTTGATATTCCTCCATTGTGGAGCTGGGAGGAGGGCTGGGTGGCGTGAGAGTGAGCAATCAAATATCATTTCAGTTCGCAGAGCTGAATAGTTCTCATGACTGTGAATTCTCATGGTTCTCATACTTCTAAATAGGGATGTTATAAATAGGATCAGTGAATAAATGACTGTGTCTCCTCATATACCAGCATAGATCAGCTATTTTTTGTTCTCTTTCTTCTTTTCTTTTCTCCAGTCGAGCGACCATTTTTTTTGTTCTTTCGTACATGGTTGATTTTTGCACGGAAACAACTGGAGTGTTTTATTGCGATTTTGTTTAAGAAATTTTCCTAAACTTTTGACAATACGTCTCGCCAAAAATAGGGGTTATCGAGTGTGCTGAATACGAAAAAGCACTTTTCAACGATTCTGTATGAACTTTGTTTTTTCTTCATGTTTATATGAAATTTTAGTGCAAATCAATGACAAACTGCAACCTTGAACGTGAGCGATTACTCAAACCCTATGTGACGGATGGAAATGTCGATGTATAACATCTCCAGTGGCCAACGAACTTACGTTAAAACAGAGCAGCACGGGAATGTGCTGGCCTCTGGGAGGGAGAGTGATGTGACGGATAGAGATGTCGACCAGGTAGCGCTGTGTTTAGAGCATAGACACGGGATGCCAAGGTTCTGGGTTCAAACCCTAGTCTGGTTACACATTTTTCCTTCACATCCTAGACATAGCTTACACGAACTGGGTATGTAACAAAGAAGCATCTAACGGAAATCTTATAAGACTTTTACTTGGATCTTATATAAGATTTCGCAGGATAGTCCCAAAAATTTCGTAAGATAGTTATAAGAGTCGTATACGATTTACATAAATTGATAAGGATTCATAAGACCTGGCGAAAACTCTTGACTTTCTCTTATTAGATCCTTATCCATATCTGATAAGATTCTTAGAAAAGTCCTGTAAGAATCATATAATATTCTTACCTGACTCCTATATTAGTTTTATTTATAGTTGCAGTTGAATCACTTCGTACTCTTCTTCGTTTAGTAGCTTTCTGTTATTTCTGGCGAATTCATCTCTAATAAGCTAATTTATTTCGGTAAAATATATCTTTTAATTAACCAAATAATACAAATAATCAAATATGTACAGTTAATTATGCGTAGGTGACTAACTAAGGACGAAAAAATAACAGGTAACACAAAACAAAAAAGCTACAACAAAAAATGTCATTTCGATTTCCTCCGTGCATCAAGACATTTTTGAGACAGCTTTCGATAAATTGTTTTAGTCCACAAATCGGCAAATATCGATAGTCGTATATCAAATGTTGTTCTACCAGCTTCTAGAAATGAGAAAACAACAGTTGTCTTATTAGCAGCATAAGTTAGTGGAAGTTCGAGAAATTTGAAACTCTTTGACTCTTTTTGTTAGCGATTGTTGATTAATTTCTATTCCTACCAAGGTAGACGAAAACTGACATTTAATTGTCCATTAATAGCCTGTTAACTGTATGCCAAAAAATGGCCTGTTAATTGTGTAAAAATCGAATGAAAATTGTCATTTAACAGCCATTATAATGACAATTTTCTGACTTTGAAATAATGGTGAAAATAATGCCAGATTATAGGCAATGTCCGAAAAATTGTCATTTTACGGACAATTGGCATTTTCGTCCATTTATTAGACCGCGTTAACTAATGTCAAATAAATGTGGCTATTAAATGTCCGTTTTTTCTCCATTTCAAAATGGCAAAAAACTGGTCATACAATGGCATTTAACAGCCAGTTTATGGTCAACCAAGTCATTCACTGTTTTATTCTGCCGTCATGAATAGTATAAATGACTCTGATTTTCCTAAAATAATTTAGAGTGTTTCTCTTCTTCAATTATACAAGTCATAGAAACTTGCCTCGAAGAAGTGGTCTGTGGTTCTTGACTCAATGCATGTGATAGTACCTCAGGTTCAGATATTTTTTTTGACATTTTCTAACAGTCTAACAATTGATATTTAAATGGCAAAAAAATGTGACCAGTAGGGTTACTGGCAGCAGTTAAATGTTTGTTATTTGACCGTCTTTTGACATTTAAAAAAATGCGAAATAAATGCATTTAAACGTTCCCAGTTATAATGGCAAAAAACGGGGTCAAATGTCATAAAAATGCTATTTAAATGCTTATTAACAGCGTATTAAATGGCATTTAATTGGCAATTAATTACGCCGTTTTCGACGTCCTGGGACCTGATATATTGTTCAACGATATATCATCTGAAGGGCACCAGCAATTGCAGAAGCCTTGAGAACAAACTAAACATTAACAACTCTTCATATGTCAAACAACAGCATCAAATTTTAAAAAAGGGCCATGTAAACAACAATAGGAACATTAATCAGAAACCCCTCTTTCATTTCTTTCTCATCAAGCTACCACACCTAAAATTTGAAACAATAGGTTATACCCCATTCTATAACCCTTTCAATTCTGCATCTAACTGTACATCAATTCCTTCTATAGTTAGCAATTTATAATTCGTCTTTTCTTTTTCTTCTATTTAGTTTAGTATTTGTTTATGCACTTTCCTCTAAAACGACGTGATAAAAGTTTTGTTATAAAATCCAACATCAGTAACTGTCGATTCAATCATTGATTGATCTAGGTCTAAAAGTTCTCGAAACTATGTCTATGCAGAATAGCCGGCCTATTCGATTAAGTCATCTTATTTGTTAATGCAATAGAAAACGGAGTCTGTTATCATTCTAATTAATACAAGTCTCGCATTTCATGGGGATAACTACAATTCCTGCTACCCACAGCTAGGAGTGCATCGGTTCGGTTAACCGATGTTTCGGTTAAACCGAAACCGAAATAACCGAACGTCGGTTATAACTGACGAAATTTTATAATGTGCTCAGTTTTGATTGTTACTGTTCTAGTCTTCAAAATTTGGATAAACTAGAATCAGAATTGCTGATTTTTCGCGCAGATGTGATTTAGATAGCATTACTTAAAATATTTCTAGTTTAGAATTAAATTATATGTCGATTAGGAGCTTTGAGAAAGCCATTAATTAGACAAAGAAAAATGACTAATTTTAAGTGAGAAAAATGCACTGCTTCTTCATACCAAGAAAGCATTTTTAAGACTCGCTGCTTGATCAAAAATGCAAGATCCACGTAATGCAAACTTGCAGTGGAATTTATTGTTCAGCTTATTATATACCATTCGATAGAGCTTTTCAAGCAGATCAAGAATGTGTAGTTTTAATTTTTCGAGACTTTCTTTTCGTGTCGGAAAATCGGATAAACTCGAAGGGTCTAAAAAGTAGATGTTATCGAGGTGACCATCAGTATACTAATCTTTCTCTTCTTCTTTCCTCTAGAATAATCTCTATTGTATATGTATAACGTGATCGCTATTGTATATGTATGACGTGATCTATATTCTATACGTACAGTGTGCTCTCTATTTTCTCTAGTATATAAACGAGTGTCTTCTTCACTTTTTAATGGAACTGTACAGGAACTGTAACGTCAAGGCGTCCCTTCTTCAATAAAATACTTTAAACATATTCAACCAGTGCTATCAATTGGTGCACTAGCCGGGAATGTGATATTTTGTGATATTAACAATAGATTTTGATGGACATTTGTCTGATGAAACTATTTATGTATCACCACAAACCAACACCGATTTACTTTTAGGACAAACATGGATTAAGAAATATCAAGCAATTCTTAATTGTAAAGATCAATGTGTCACTATTACAAGTGATAATGGTTCAAAACGTATTCAATATATACCAGCTTATGATGATAATGACGGTGATCCACATCAACAATATAATGTCCGATTAGTACATGATGTTACCATTAAACCTCGAACAGTTCAACCGATTGATGCTATTTGTCCACCCATTCTAAATGCAGATACTGTTATATTCCGTCCACGACAACAACTTCAAGAAGAATTTTTAATATTGATTCCAAATAGTTTGTTAAATATTTATCACCATCGGACAACATTGTATATTGTTAATCATACTGATACTGATTGTGTATTACCCAAGAATTCAACGTTAGGTAAAGTTCACCATGTTCGATCAGCTAGTCTGTGTTGTAATGTTACTCAATCGTTTGAATCATTAAGATCTGATGCTGTTATACCACAAAGAATTGAAGAAAACATTAATACATTAATTAAACATTTGCAATCGAAACAACAAGAATTAATCCGTCCAATGTTATTACAAGAATGGAACGTTTTTGACACTAGTAAACCATCTCAGGCCGCGAATTTGAAAACAGAACATCGAATTATAACACAAGATCATCCACCGATTTATCAAAGTGTTTATCGTGTCCCTGAACCCATTAAACAACAACAGAAAGAATTAACTGATGAAATGGAAAGAAATGGTCAAATTAGTCGATCTCAATCACCATGGGAATTCTACCTTGATGATATTATTATTTATTCGGAAACTATTCGTGATCATATTAAAGATGTTCATGCTGTGTTGTATGCATTAAATAGTCATAGTTTTAAATTGAATACACCAAAATGTGCATTATTCCATGAACAAATTGAATATTTAGCTCATGAAATTAATCATCAAGGTTATAGTCCATTGAAGAACAACATCCAAGCAGTTATTGATATACCAACACCAACAACATATGATGCAGCTCACCGATTTTATGGCATGGCTAACTAGTATCGTTCATTTGTTAAAAATTTTGAAGTTGCATATCCATTACTGAGATTTCAAGCCAAAAAAGGTGAATTTGTCTGGAAATCTGAACACCAACTAGCATTTGACACATTGAAACAACAACTCGTATCAGAACCTTGTATGTTAAAATTTCCATTACCAAATGTTTCGTTCATTCTAGCAACAGACGCATCATCAAAACATGGTATTGGTGTAACATTGAAACAGAAAGTTGGCAAAAATGAACACGTAATTGTATATTTATCTCAAAATCTGAATAAAACTGAACGAAAATGGGGTGTTACAGTACAAGAATGTTGGGCAATTGTTTGGGCAGTGAAGAAATTGCGAATTTACTTATATGGCACAAAGTTTACTGTTATTACAAACCATCATCCTTTATGCTGGCTCAACAAACACAAATCTGGAAATGAAAGACTCTATCGTTGGTCATTAGTATTACAAGAATATGAATTTGACATTAAACATAAAGGTGGCTCATGTCATCTGGATGCTGATTGTTTATCAAGATCTTTACCAAATGATGCTACAACTGAAGATACTAGTAGTAATGAATATGATGAAGATAATATTCCAGTACACAATGAATTTCGTCCATCACGAACAACAACTGATACTAGTATTTCACAAATTAATGCAGTACAAACACGCGCACAAAAAGCTGCTTTGAATAATTCACCATCAACTTCAACACTATGTCCTCCAACAACCACATCAACAATACTTTCCCCGATAACAACATCAGTTGAACCTCATACTCCATCTTTGATACCTGGATTATACCAAAATCCCGCAAGGACAAGAAACTGATCCAATTGTCCAACAACGAATTAGTGAGATGCAACAATATCCAAATACCCATTCAGCATTCGTCGCTGAACATGGCATTCTCTACAAACTCATTGATACATATTCAGGAAGAACAGAGAAGAAAATTCCATGGGTACCAAAATCTATGATTAAAGATTTATTATATTCAGCAAATACTCATCCAACAGCCGTACATTACGGTTCTGATCGTACTTATTATAAATTGAAGAACCATTATTATTGGCCGAACATGTTAAATGATATTAAACAATATGTCAAAGAATGCTTATTATGTACTCAACACAACATTCCTCGACATAAACCACCTGAGCTATTAGAAACACCAGAACCACCAAGTGAAGTATTTGAACTAGTTGGGATGGACTTTTGGGATCCAACACGTGATGCTACTAGTAATGGTAATCGATACATCATCACCTGTACCGATCATTTATCAAAATTTGTTGTTGCTAAAGCTGTACCAACAGCAACAGCAACTGAAGCAGCTAAATTTCTTGTTGAAGATGTTATATTTAGATATGGCCATATTCCGAAACATATTCTTACTGATCAAGGTTTACATTTTAACAACCAACTGATGCAAGCGATTACAAATGATATTGGAATTAACCACATTTTCTCAACAGCAAACAAATGGAATCGTTGAGCGGTTTAACGCAACTATTAAACCGCAATTATGTAAATTACAAGATTTAAAATTGAATAATTGGAACGAATACTTATTACCCACTATCTATGCTTACAACATCGGACAGCATCGAACAACAAAATATTCACCCTATCAACTACTATATGGAAAAGATCCTGTTTTACCATTTGATAAACCTCAGTCGATGGTGCAATTTGCAAGATCAAATCATTATTATAATCAATTTCGTGGCTATCGTTCCTTTCTCATTCACCAAACTCAGGAACATATTCGTCAACAACAACAATCAACAAAACAACGTTACGATCAGCATCGTCAGAACATTCAATATCAAATCGGCCAACTAGTATTAACCAAACCAGCAGTAAGGAATGATAAAATGCAAGCAATATTTGAAGGATCATATCGTGTTATTAATGTGCTTGGACCTGTTACATATCAAATTCAGCTAGAGCATTCGGATTATGTCAGACAAGTGCATGTAAATCTAATGAAACCAATCTTTGAACCTCAAAATTAAATAAAGACTTTCATTTATACTGAATTATTGTCAGATCCTGGTCATATGAACCCAAAGAAAAGACATTAATTTTACCTGCAATGAATGGAATTAAAATCAGGCTTAGAATACAGATTAATTTTTATTACTTTTTCGTTGCAATCAATTTTTTTATTTTTATTTTTTACCTTATCTTATGTTGGATGAACGTGGACGTTCATCTTCGAAGGGGGGAGGTGTTATCGAGGTGACCATCAGTATGCTAATCTTTCTCTTCTTCTTTCCTCTAGAATAATCTCTATTGTATATGTATGGCGTGATCTATATTCTATACGTACAGTGTGCTCTCTATTTTCTCTAGTATATAAACGAGTGTCTTCTTCACTTTTTAATGGAACTGTACAGGAACTGTAACGTCAAGGCGTCCCTTCTTCAATAAAATACTTTAAACATATTCAACCAGTGCTATCAGTCGAAAAAACGACGATGTTCGAAAAAGTTAGATTTTGCGACTTGGGTTTTTAGTCTGAACGTTCAAACTATTTTTTTCTTGTTCAGCGTTAAAAGCTAAATTAAAAAATGATATGAAATCCATTTCGAAGATAAATGCCTGTCGTCAAACTGTAAATACCAAAGACACTTATAAACCAAAAGCAAAGGGTCTGGCCCTTGTGGAAGAGATGAAAAATTATAAATCGTTAGTCTCATTATTTCATACCAAAGATATATTCACCTCATCATCGTCGTCAGTTGCGTTTTGGAAGTCATATGAAGAACAATTACCTATTTTAGCTAAATATACGAAAAAATATTTAGCTGTACCAAGCACGAGTGTGCCATCGGAATCGGCTTGTCTGGCGCGAAAAACACGAGCTCGGCTAAGTGACGACAATTTGGCATATAGCGTTTAAAAGATAAAATTAGTATGGATGATGAACAATAAACTGACAGTCGATTTTCTATGGTTCGATTCAAATCGATGCTTTGGTATGTGCGGACCCATTACTTCTTAATTAATTCTGTAGTCTGCGTACTAATTGGAATTTTTCTTCGCGGGTAAGTATTTTCAGTAACTGACGTTGGGAGAAGAAACTTGGCAAATTAACCTTTGAATTCACTACTATCTCCGTAGAAGCCAGTTAATTAGACGAAAACAGCCAACTAATCGAGAAAAATTAATGCATTTTTTAGAAGATAGCATTTTTGTGAGCAGGTACCGGAATATTTCGTACATTTTTCATCAAGCCGCGACTCATGAAAATGCTTTCTTGGTATGAAGAAGCAGTGCATTTTTCTCACTTAAAATTAGTCATTTTTCTTTGTCTAATTAATGGCTTTCTCAAAGCTCCTAATCGACATATAATTTAATTCTAAACTAGAAATATTTTAAGTAATGCTATCTAAATCACATCTGCGCGAAAAATCAGCAATTCTGATTCTAGTTTATCCAAATTTTGAAGACTAGAACAGTAACAATCAAAACTGAGCACATTATAAAATTTCGTCGGTTATAACCGACGTTCGGTTATTTCGGTTTCGGTTATAACCGATGGTCGGTTTTCGGTTAATAACCGAAACCGATGCATGCCTACCCACAGCATGATTCTCTAACAATATTTTATTTACTATCCATTCACATGACATTCATTCTACAAAAATGTAGAGGTGTTTTTGGTTTTTCAATTAGATTTTTGATTTAATCGTGTTGTCAATATTTTGTGCCGTGTGACTTTGATTGAACGAAGAATAATGTAATATAGTTCATTCTAAAACTCAAAATATCAAGAATTAATAATATATCATAAAATTCATTGTGTTGTGTGTGGTACGGCTCCACATTAACCACGACAGATTCGTATATATATGCGCATATATATAGAAAAGTACAGTTCTAGTTTTTTCAATGTCAGATTTCTTTCTTTTTCCTTTTCACGTGTAATCACTGTGTAGAACGAAATAGAAAGAAGTAGTCTTCATCTTGTACAGTCAGTATTTTGTTTTTTTATTGTTGAAAATGACCAGTTCAGGTCAAAATATCTGTTAAATACAGTCAGGTATGAAATTTAAAACAGCTGCATTCATTATTTTACTTTTGAATCGAAAGTCGTTGCCCACACATAGAGAATGATGATGATTAAAACGTGAGTTATTATTGGTATATTGCATAATCTTTCTATCATATTTCCGCATTACTTTAGTTGCATGTTTGCTTAGACGAAGGTCAACAACAACAAGTGAAACATTTAATATTAAAAACATCAATTAATAATCAGATATAAACAACTGAAAAAACTGGAACATCTTGAAATCACATCTAATGATTGAAATATGTTATTATTATTACATCATCATTAAAATCCTTTTATCTACGAAACTTATTAGTGGAAGCCATTATCCAACTATTAGTCTTACCTATTTTCCATACATTTCATTAGAAATTTTTTGTTAATACTATTGGCGATAATGAATTCTATTGATACTGATGATCAACCTAATTTGTTGAAGTAGATAGATAATGATCAGAACTAGGCATCCATAAATTTTATCCATAAATCTCTACTATCGCCGTAAAATTTCTAAATTTCAGGTTGATAGTAGAGATTTATGGATGCCTAGTTCTGACCATAGATGATACATAACTAAATTATTAGTGCTTTATTCATTAGGATTGGCTAACAGAGAGCGAATGGCCAGTCAAAACGGGATAATTTCTCCGGTACAGTCCCATTTTGGATGGTCCCCAAGCTAGTTTTAATTACATTTTTCTCATTTTTGTTAATTAAGTTAAAGAATGACCGAGTTGGAGTCAATACAGAATTGTTGTATATAGCCAAAAAGTAGTGCTTTTCAGGAGCTATAAATTGACTAATTAAATTTTCGATAGTTGAACTTGTAAAAATATACAACTGAAAAAATGTTTTTTCTGTTAGAAAGTTGGCTAACTGCAAAGTATTTTTCGTGTAGCTATTCGCTTTTATATCTTGTAGTAAAACACTCAATACATTTTTTCTGCCCAGATAAGCAAAAAATTACTGAAGACAGCCCTCATGACTAGTCCGAAATGTCCGTATATCTCGTCAAGACTAGTCTGAAATGTTCCTTTCGCTCGTCGTGATTAGTCTCGTTTTTAATAAATGTCTGAATAACCCATCTAAACTGTTCTGGAATGTCACATTCCAGAACGACATTCCGAATGTCTCTTCGACTCGTCATGACTAGTCTGCTTTGTCCGCTATACCCGTCTAGACTAGTCCAAAGAAAAAGACATGAATAATTCCATAGCCTTAGTTCGAACCAGTACACTGTCTGCGCAAAGAAACCGACGCCTGGACCGGACAGGCGTCTGGACATTGTTCTAGGCAAATACGATTGTGCCGGTCTGAAAACAGATACTGGCGCGCGTCAAACTGCCCGTCTGCATCAGCAAAATGACGTGCGACCGGACGGCAGTCAGTGAAGTGACGATATAGTACAAGACAGGCCGAAACCTATCATTATGCCTTCATACACCGCCTAGACTAACCCGAAATGTCTCATTTACGCGTCATGACCAGTGTGTTTTGCCCTGTGGGCCCATCTAGACTAGTCAGAATTAAAAAAAGTGACCGGAAAAATGATGTGTGCTCGAACTTCTACGCGATTCGGAAAAATGAAACGATGGGAGTCGACATAGGAGTCTTTAAGACTATATATATTGTATATTCTACAACATGTACTAATAGTACATGTTATAGAATATATATTATAAACCGTCACGATGCTCGTCTCCGAGTCGTATGTTATGATGCAAAGAAACGGGTCTAGGACAGTTGCTCGCCAGGACACTTGCTCGCTAGGACATTTGCTCGCTAGGACACTTGCTCGCCAGGACATTTGCTCGCTAGGACAGTTGCTCGCCAAAGAGAAATGTGTAACAATAAATTACTTAAAATTTGTGGAAATTAATTTAATTCGCATAAAATGATGAGTTATAATAAACGCTGTATCCCTTATTGATGAGTCTCATAAAATGATGAGTTATAATAAACGCTATATCCCTATAAAAGCGGTACCACTTCCAGTACAGTTCACTATCAAAACAATCATGTCAAACAACAGAATCAAACAAATCCTCATAATATTTTGACACAAACAAATATCGGTGTTCCGGATGAAGTGCGTATTCAGCTAACAAGCAATGAAAATTTGAAACGAAACATCCGTCGTTGGCGACAAGAAGATAACGCTGTATCCACACCAATAGACATCAACTTTCCAATTATTCCAAATAAATATCATCGAACAACACGTGATACAATATTTTTCCGTAAAGATACTGGTCCTGGTTCAAATCGCTTATTAATATTTTTTACCGACGAGCAACAGAATATAATGGAAAATGCAACGGTAAGTCCCATAAACGTAACTGTTGACTATTTCTTGACCGTGTCAAGAATGATATGCATCGCACCAACAACAACGTCGAAGCATGGCATCGGAAAATAAACTGTGCCTTTCAGTCTAGCCATCCAACTTTATGGGCATTTTTAGATAAATTAATCAAAGAAGAAAATAATTTACATTCGGATATAATTAACGCTATGTCAGGGAGCCAGCCAACAGGGCGAAAGCATGAAACATTCAACAAACGATTACGAAATTTGGTTGAAAATCCACATCCAGATATTTATGACCAGTTAAAATGCATCGGACGTTTGCTGTCGTTATGAAGTTTCTGTTTTTTGTTGTCTATTGTTGTTCAAAGATTATTATGACGCTTTGTTTGATTCTGTTGTGTGGTTCTTCTTATAATCGGTGAATTTGGGAGATAGCGTTTGAGTACAAGTAATCAAGTTAATTTCCAATTTTTGGCGAACAAGTGTCCTAGCGAGCAAATGTCCTATCGAGCAAGTGTCCTAGCGAGCAAGTGTCCTGGCGAGCAACTGTCCCCGCGAGCAACTGTCCGGCTCCCCAAAGAAACATCAATCGGTAATGCGGCAACAGACGTTCTAACGAAAGTAGAACTTACAGACAAGTCCTGGAACCAAGTTATACCCCTTTCTTTCTTAGAGCATTTATGTAACCAGAAGACTTGTCAAGTGACTTAACTAGTCCTAACTAGTCTTTTTGACAAAAGCGACCTGGTCCTGACTATAGTCCGGTATTCTAAACGCCAGCTATAACCGTCAAGTATCTGTGAGGGACTAAAGTCAACAAGCACTTTCTGATTAGTCTTTTGGGAAAATAATGTACGGTTCAATTATACATAGAAGTATATGTCACATTTTGTAGAGCGCATAATTTTGTATAAGATTAATTTACAATATTACCAATGGTAGCTTCATGACGAAACTTTTTTCGAAAACTTTCTTCTTGGCTCAATCATGCAACCATGGACTAAAATTTAAAAAATTTTTTTGCACAAAACTACTTATTTGGAAATTATGATAAAATTGCGACGAAGACCTAAATTATTAAAGCTTCAGCGAAATGTTCTTCACGTATACTAAAAACTAGCATGCATAAACTGATGGGGATATCGCTCAGGTGGTTCAATCGCAGATATGTAACAGTGTCGTATGTTCGCTTCTAACCTATTTCTCTATCTTTCTTCCATTTAGACTAACCCAGACGTCGTCATTATATAGCTTGGCAGACTAGTTAATCACACTACTCCGGACGGTTTTCTTTTAATTAACAATAAGAATTTTGAACTAGTTACGACGGGGTCGTTTTTCTCGTAAAAACTAGTCGGGACGCACAGTGGGCATTTTCCCATAGAGCATCTAATTTTTTGAGTTAGAAAATGATTATTTTAGCATAATATGGTCTTACTATGTGTCAGATATTAGCAGAAGTGAAAAAGGTCGAATTCAAAAAGCTCCTTAGGGGACCCTTGCCCTGAATTTTTGTCAAAAATTGTTTTATTTGTAAAACTAACAAACTGTACATCATTCGACGTAGTTTTTCACAGTGATTCCGAATATGACTTTATGTTATGGAAAAAGTGCTCTTATGGGGGAGAAAAACGCGACTTACCTCGAAAACCCTATGGGCTTTTGTAAAATCAATAACTCGACTTAGAAAAAAGACGAGATCATCATAAATACACAATAGGCTGAGGAACATTTTCATGTAATTAGAAGGTCTGTTCAGGCTTAGCGCTTTTTAGCGCTGTCACTGCACTGAGGTTGTCTCATGTCGGACCGTAGTAATCTAGACTAGTAGACCTTTTTTCGTCTCGTACAAGATGCAAAAGGAGTACCTTCTATTATCAGGAGATGCAATAGGTTGTGCTAATTCCGAATATGTGCTTTGGATAGGATAATATTGCACGTCTGTCCATAGAAATAAGAATCTTTGCAGGTGTGTCATATTTGACGGTGTTTTTTGTGAATGTTCGTAAGTTAACTTACTCATCGGAGAAGTTCATTACTAGTCGATCATTATATACCATTCGATAGCGCTTTTCAAGGACTACATTTACTACTGTTCGAATTCAAAAAAGCTCACTTGTCGATTTTTGCTCAAACTTCTGCCTGAATGCCCACTGTGGGACAATAGCCCGGACTACAGTCCTGCGGTAACAAAAGAATTCCATTACCTTACCATGGTAATAGTAAAAAACGGATTTTAATTCCTGGTAATAAAAATTAACAAAAATTTTAATTCATGATAATGGTAGTGGTAACGGATACTTTTCAGATTCCGTTCATAATCATACGATCTCTTTATTATAAATGGTATCGTATATCACTTTAGTGTATATAATACAGTCAAACGTTATATAACGTTCAGACTAGTCCGCGATCTTAATATTCTTCATTTTGTGCCTCACACACGTGTTTATGTTTTTTCTTTCCCTTCTACGGGAATATGTTCTTACCATGGGAATTCCATTGCCACAAAAAGAAAATTTCTATCGATAGTAATGGTATGGGAAATGGTAACAAAAAAGTCGTGGGAACAGGACTCTAATCCGGACTAGGAAGGAAGACTAGCGATTTCACCCGTCTTTTGCTCATTTGGGTGGAGAATTTCACAGCGCACGTTTTAAAATAACAATTCCAACGCAGAAAAAATACCTCTAAGTGGAAGGAAGCATAGGCAAAATAAGCATTTCATCTTATCGATAAAAGAAAAATTCAAATAAATTCAATTGAAATAAAAAATTTCGATTAATGAGAATTTGCTTCTGTGGCTAAGACTAAGTTCAACAAAAGTAAGCCATCTAAGGTCCGACTTGTAATATCAATGACCCGAGCCAAACTACAAAAAGGAACAAAACCAAAAAAGAAACAGAAAAAAACAAAAGGGAGTGTGGAGACGGAACTGCTTTGCATGCAAAAAATGAAAATTATTTTTTACATAAGAGAGAAAATATTCAAAGAGATCATCTGAAATATGTACTGATGCAGAGAGGTAAACAGCTAAGCAAACGTTTTCTGTAGGCCGGGTGGTAGATGTCGCCAGATAGCAGTCAACTGTGACAATACAAAAAAGCGGTATATGGGTAATAAAATTGACAGCGTATAGATAATCTATTATAACAAATCGATTAGAAATACTTCCAACCTCTTTGGGATCTGCAGAGGGTGTGCAGAAAATCTTTTAGCTTTATACTACATTAGATGGTTTTCCGGTGGAATCAGAGAAGTTCATAGCATTTCTCATCTATACTGGTTGCGAACGCCGACCGAAGAGAAGCATGAGGATTGTTTTAAATTCAGGAATAGTTTTAGACCTCTACAGATTTTTGATTTATATATGTATATCAGATTACCACCTTACACATAAAAAAAGAAAAAAATCCAGAACATGCCTTAGTTAAGGCCCCAGCGAGCGCCGACCGAAGGGAGGCATGAGCATTGTGTTCGATTTATAAGTCACCAAAGGGCGTTCGCCTCCGCAGATCCAACTTAATAAAGTCAAGGGACCGAGCGAGTGAAAACGAGCGTTACCTTGTGATTTATTCCCTGGACTTTAGCGTAGGGTCTTACAAAATGTGGTTGTCTGTGTGTGTCAACTGTGATAATACAAAGAAAGTCGGCTACGGATAATAAACTTACAGTGTACAGAGAATCTATCATAGCGAATCGATTAAAAATAGTTCTAATCGCCTTAGGATCCGTAGAGGGTGTCCAGAAAACCTTTTATTATTTTTTTCTGTAGGTCGTGGATAGATATCGCCAGCAGTCAACTGTGATAATACAAAAAATTTTATTTTTCGTGGAAGCAGAGAAGTTCACAGCAGTGTTTCTAACATTACGCGTACGCCTTTGTTCCAAATCGTACGGTACGCGAACTAAACTGAAAATACGCTCTGATATACGCTTTGTGTTTGATTTCAGCGCGCACGCAGTACGCTCTGGGAAAAAAAATACGCTTTGAGATTTGTAAGGATTTAAAGAAAAAGAATAGCATTTGACTACTTACTATTAAGCGGTTTATTTTTAGATAGAAAATGAACGTGAAAACACCGAAAAAGCCGTTTAAAACACTCGATAATTTTATTTTGAAACCATCATCACCGACCACAACGTCTTTGACAATCACATCAATTCTGTCTCAACCTGATCAAGATGAAGTTGAAAACCAATGAATGCCCCCGATTTTATCAGAATCACAATCGAAGTTGCCGTTGAATGATCATAATTATTATTTATTAGTTAACAATGAAACAACTATTACAACAACAACCACAGAGACAATATCAGATATAACAACAACTCCCACTCGTCAAAATCATCGGTCACAGTATTTGGAAGCATGGGAAAAGAAGGTGGAAGCTTTATATAAAACGTACGTATTCGATTTATTGGGTGGACGACGTGAACAGTTAATGTGTTGGTTTTACAAGAAGGTGGATGAAAATGAGGCAATAACAATGCGTTGTGAACTGTGTGAAAAATTTAACAAGATAAAAAACTGTAATAGCAAACCCTAGTCGAGACTCCTGATTAATCTCCCGCAGGAGTCCTGGACAAAAAGTCCTACAGGAGTCAGCAGGAGTCCTGTCACGGGATCCCGGCAGGATCCTCTGTGGAGTCATGGAGGATTTTTAAGGG